CTTGATTCTCAGCCCTGAGAATGTTCATGGATTCCCTCAATGCTCCGGCCATTTCACAGGCTAAGGCACCTATGGCCTGCTGACCTACTGGCTCGGCCACGTTGGCCTGACCAACTCCTTCCTCCTGCGCCGGAATCTTATCCGGTATAGGCACCTCCTGCCTTCTAGGCCTACCACGCCTACCACCACAACCTCGTCTTGACATCCTAATAAAGGTAACAAAAGACACCAACATATTGACAAACGTGTCGAAGCTATTTCATCCGCTTCCTAATGCGATGGACAACATCAATTCACTCCACATAAGCACATAACCACATAAACACATACGAATTTCATTTCTGGATAATGACCGTCCCGTGGCGTTACTAGAGTTCCACTTAGAAATGGCAGTGATCAAGTGCCTTTCCAACAGGACTCCCGGAAACCTATAGACCCGATCAACATCCTAGAAACTAAATCTCATACCCATATAGTCACGCAAACATGTTATCACATAAGCACATAACATCATACTTAAATCTCTAACAAGCGAGACAAACCCATCGTGGTACTAACCACTTCCCGCGTACCCAAAGTATTCAAACCCGACACGCTCTGATACCAAGTTGTAATACCCTCAAAGAAATAACTTAAAACAATCATTCATAGGATCCATAAACATGCTAGAAAAGATATATTTATTCATCAGAGTCCTCCTTACGAAAGTTGTTATATGTAACTCTAACTTCTACTAACAAAATAAGTGCCCTACGGGCTTGCATCTTTCCAAGTATAACTTGGTTACAACAAAAGAGGGTCAAAAGCCCTTTACAATTTAAGCCCTCGACTTGGAAAGGAAAACATATAAACATGAAATGAAACAAAAAAATAGAGACTTCGGCCCCAAAACCTCCCAAGCTATGTCTTTGGAGGCGGCATATCACTTGTACCTGAAAATGGTGTCCCAAGTAAGGTGAGCCAAAGCCCAGTAAAGATATGCTAAACAGTATATAAGAATTAACTAAAACATTAACCTCCGATAAATGTTTAACACTTGTAAACCAACTTATATCATTCCCATAACCAATCAACACTTACATCATATTCGATCCAAATCAATTCATTGATATAACTCAATATTATCCAAACAGTTTAAAAATGAGACTACAACTCATGTATCAGCACTTCAATAACAATCATCATTCAGCACTTCATTTTTTTTTTGCCATTTTACGGAACTACGTCTGAGGGAACCGGCACCCAAATATATATATGATTTCGGGACTTTCACCCTGGACACTCCGGCCAACTTAATTCTCAATGGAGTCCATCCCCTATCTCCTCCCAAACAATGGAGTACATCCCATATCTTCTTCCAAACAATATATATATGTAATGTATTTAACACGTCGTCATTGTATTAAATCACATATTCAATGTTAATATTCAACTGTCATATTCAATGGCATATTCCAATTGATTAGTTTCAATTCACCTAATCATCATGCAGTTTCTACAACAATCATGGCTATCCTCCACCGATAGCCCAAAACAGATATTTCTAAACAGATAATTAAACTTATTAAACAGATAAATTATCACATTTTTCATAGGTGAGTGATTTATCAATCCAACTACACCATTTAATCAAAACTTTCCCCAATTTCATGATTCTCAAACCAATTTCATATTTTCATAATGATTTCACCCTTTACACAAATAATGTACATAAGTCAAATAGGGGCATTTTCCCGATTTTCTCAAATATTACCTCCAAGGCCAAATTTCATCAATTATGCACCCATAACCCCATTTCAAGACGTCACGTACACAATGGAGTCCCCAAAATAGAAAACCCCTCTTTCAAACATTTCAAATTTCAAACCCTAACTTCCCAAAATTTCCAAGTCTTACGATTTATACAAAATGACTAATATTTATGTTAAAGCTCATAAAAATGAGTAGATTATCCCTATCTCAAATGGAGAAGCTCAAAGGAGAAGAAGGAGGAAACTCAAGATGCTTCAAATCCATACTTTTTTGGATCCAAAGGAAGCCCACACAAAGCTCTACCTTTTTAACAAAGGAAAAATGGTCGAAAACCTCTAGAACAAGGTGTATTTGTAAAGAGAGTGAGAGAGAGACAGCCGGATTTAGGGTTTGGAGTGAAAAAGAGATGAAAAAGTGATGTAAAATCACACTGCTGCGATCTGATATATACGGGGCTGGCTCGAGCGAAGGAGATGTCGCTCGAGCGACCAGACACAACAAATACCTCGCTCGAGCGAACAATGTGAAGCCTCCAATCTGCCACTCACGCAGATGCATGCTCAAGCGAAGGAACATAAAACACAGGGCTCGCTCGAGCACAAAAATGATCGCTCGAGCAATGAATACCAACCTTCAAGTCTTCACAGAGACGCAAACGCATGCTCGAGCGTAAGAGTTCTCGCTCGAGCAAAGAGATACACCACACAAAGCTCGCTTGAGCGCAAGAAACCTAGCTCGAGCGAAGAAGCAAATACCCAAGGCTCGCTTGAGCGCAAAAAGCCTTGTTCGAGCGAAGAAGCCAAATCTTGGGTAGCAATCATTTGTTCCAACTCATAACCAACCTGTTCCAAACTTACCCAACACATCCCAAAACTCAAATACAAGGAATTAAATGATGGAAATAAGATATAAACAACAACATACTACCACGGAACACGAGTTCGAAACACAACAAAGGTCGGGATAAAACCTGGATTGCTATACGATTGATGTGGCTTAGAAAGATGAATCTCACTTGGTAACAAAATAATTATAAACCCCATTCTTCAAATTAAATTATGCATTAATATGTAAAAATTCTTCACTAAATATTTTTTTTTCCAGAAACACTCAAATGCTGGTAAAGCAAATTGGCGTATGCTACCTTATAATCATACAAGTGGATCTCGATCCTTTCCAATAGCAACGTCGCTTATGGTGAGAAGTTGTTAATTTAGTAATGTACAAATCAATGCTTGTTCTTAATTTTCAATACTACTTCATGCAGTTCTTAATTTTGTTATTTCAAACCTAACAAGTAGATGAGGATGGAGATCTTGATTTTCTTGAATTTTATAAGAAATCACACAAGTCCAAAAAGACCGGAGACTGGATTGACCCCAAATGTGGTGAGCTACACGTGAGTATTGAACATCGAAACCAATTGTCTTGAATATCAATTAATAAAGTTGTTGTAAATTCCTTCATCATTGTTTGTGCTTCTAGTAAATACTTAATTGTTTTTTTTCCATGACAGAACGAGATGGTGAAACTACAAGTGGTAGCCACCGATGCTGGGACACCATTGACCCAAGAAGAACTATCCAGGCAAGTGCTTGGGCCCAAAAAAAAATTACTTGCATGGATTTTGGATAACCCCCCAACCCTCTTCGATGCCTGATAGTGCAGCACGAGCACGCGATAAACATATGGAGTCAATGAGAGCTGAGCTGGAGGTTTTTCGTGAGGAGCGTCAAAGAGATCATAAGGAGCTGCTGAAGGATAAAGTGGCTCGTGAAAGAGATCACAAAGAGCAACTGAGGGAGAAAGAGGAGTGCCAAAGAGATCGTGAGGAACTTGTAAGGAAACGAGAGGAGATGATGAAACAAGTCGAACAAGAAAAAGAAAGCACGGGAGGCACAACAAGTACAACTCAATCATTTGAACGACGTGGTGTCACGGCTCACAACCCTCTTGTAGGGTTCAGATGGTCATCCTACTATTCAGTAAGAAGAATTTTATTGATATGGTTCTAAAAGTTCTACAAAAAATGGATCATATTGACATTATTGTGTACAATGAACGTAGAATTGTTTTCTAAAGTTCGCATTCAAACCTATTACAACGTTGATTATGGGTTTCGTTTTGTTTTCTTTCCTCCCCTATGCTTCGAATAGGCTTTGAGGCGTAATGTGAGTAGACTTAGCAACAGAGGACCTGGTGTTTCGATACTCTAAAGGACTTCATTTTGATTTCCATAAGGTAACCATATGATTTCAAAGAAATATTCACTTTCCCATAATTGAGTAAGGATGAGCTTATGAATATAAGGGAAGTCACTAAATTGGACGAGGAAGCAACTGAACCAGCTCAGCCACTTTGTCTTACATTACAACTACACTTATATTTGACATTACTGTGAATCAAGTTGATTGACAAAACCTAAGATGGATGGATATCCATTTTGGTGCTCAGCAACTTTTGTGTGTTTATCAGCTTCCAGAGTCGCCTAATTTCAAAGTGAGATTGAGTTTGGATGTGAAGCAAGGGGGTGGAGCTAAGAGCCAGTTCTACCTAATAGATATGGGGAGCTGCTGGAAGAACAATGGTGCAGCCTGTGATGGAGATGTGGTGACCGATGTAACCAGGTACAGCGAGATGTTTTTTTTTTAATTATAAAAGAAAAAAAATTCATATAAATTTTTTTCTTTGGGCTTGGATCACTTGAGTATTTTTTTTTTGTAAGCTTTTGTTTTTTTCTTGGAAAAAGAAAGCTATTCAAAATATTGTAAAAGAGTGTAACGGTGTCTAACGGACCATTACGGCCGTTACATAACACCAAAACGGCCATATTTTCACCGCTATAGCAGCCGTAACGGGTAGCGGTAACCACCACAACCATTACGTAACGGCATTACGCAACGGTTGCGGCCGCTTTTTAAAACCTTGCCGGTATTCTTTGATAATTTAAATGGTTAAATAATAATATGTATTTTATAAAGTCTTACGCAAAAGTGTCAAATTATACAGAGACACGTCATTAATATAAAATGTTGTAACCACAGGATCATTAATTGCTACCATTAAAAGTTCCTTAGTACTTCCATTCAAGTTTTCTTGGTCGTCAACTTTACTTAATTATATTTTATTATATTAGCCTCAGACTACAATTTTGCTGAGTATGCAGATTTCCTGGAAAAATCTTGATATGTGGAGATGCACCTCACTACCTCCCTGATTACGATGGAAATAAATGGAAAATATAATAATACAGACAGCATTACTTAAATTTCTATTTTAAAACTCACTGGGAGTAGTGTGGAGGCTTTCACACAAAGGATTCCTCCAACTAGAGGTTGAGGATCAACAGGATATGAAATGGTCCCAAAATTCTTGGTTGTGTTAATAGAAATTACTAAATCTTCAGCAGAACCATAGCTCATCAATGACCAACCATCATTATTGAATCCACTGACCGCATCATTGAAGCCCCTAAAAGCAATCAACAAACAGATAAAGAGAAAAAGGACAAGATGAGAAACTTGAAGATAGAATGACTAATGTAAAGATAGATGCATTTATGCAAAAGCATGATGTTCATGTTTGTATATGTAAATATGAATAAACAGCAAGACAAAGATGCATGGAGACCAGAAGATTTTGTAGATATTACCTGCTCAATCTTTGGCTGAAGGTTCGTAAGGGAGGTTCCTTGCCATGTCCTACCTCACAACTTCTTTCTCGAGCTATTCTCCTAATGTAATGCAGTGCCTGCATTAAAAAAAGTCTTAATTAGTTCCTCCAAAATTTGAAATGATGTTTTAACTTTGAAAAGGAAAAAGCGAAGGCTATTACAGTTAAGATTGCTTGTTCAACAGCAAAGTTCAGACCATAAAACATGACAACTACAGTGAATAGGCCGACACATTCATGCTTAGAATGGAGTGAATAGGCCAGACTCTTGAAATATTACCAATTTAAAAGTTATCAACATTAGTAACTCATCAATATATGTTGTCCTAGCATGCAACTTCTAGAGTCCAGCACAAAGTTAGATAGTAGAATATTTTCTAATAAGAGTAGAGACTTCTAGTCAACATTTAGTCAAGCGTCAGGAGGTTAAGATCCTATATTTTGTGACAATCTGAGAAGAGAGTATTTTCAAAAATAAGGCAAAGAAGTAGGGCCATGGCATCAATATGGTACTTAGCATTAGTAACAAATTTTTTTTTTTTTGAGAGAGAGAGAGAGAGAGGATCAAGTCATTAACATGATTATATCATACATCTTATAAATTTACAGCAGGACTGTGTAAGAATTGCATTGCTTATGCAAAAAGCAAGATGTGATTAAGTCTTATGAACATTTGTCACTTACAGCAACTGTCATCTTTTGTGCAACAAGTTTGGATGATTCATAAAGAGGCCGAAGCTCCTCAGGAGCACTCAAGGCCTACAAGGATAAATGCAAATTAGTTGTGGCTAAGTAAAAATATCAAGAATTGAAGTGCGATGAATCAAACCTCAAGATCCAAATGATCAACAATGTGAATGGCTGGCCCCCCCTCCTCAGAAGGTCGAACAAAATAGCCACTGGCCAGTATCTTGGCTCTTGTTAATTGTGAAGCAACAAATGGGTTTAGACTAGTACCAGAATCAGAGATTGATTTCTCACATACCTTTATATATTCATAGGAAATATAGTTATGAGGATATTAGTAGGTCTCACTATAGAAATTATATTGATATGTTAATGACTTGAACCTGTAGAACCTGTAGTCTGGCCTATAACTTCTTTCTTGATCTTTTTAGAAATCATATTGATATAATTTCATGACAACCACATATAGAGTTTTGAACTAAGAAAAAGATAAAAATAACTCCTAAACTTCAAAAAGACAAATTAACACCCTACCGGCGTGACTGATAACTTTTTATTTTAATGTCTTTAGGAAGTCAGGCTCATGTATTTTCACCACAAAAAATACTTTGTTGTATTTTTTTTGTGGTTGGTTTATGACAAAAACCATAGAGCTACTATTTTAATAATTTTTTTGGATTCCTAATTGTCTACAGTTCTAGAGAATTTCGTGAACTCTTGCTTATGAGTTTGGATTGTGTAACTGCAATAAACCGCAAAATTTCATTAGAAAAAATACCTTGAACATTGATTTTTGCGATCCCCTATTGGCTGAATTTTTAATGTTTTCTTGTATTTATGCTAAATAAGGATCAAGTAAGAGAATTGCCATTAACTTTGTGAACTCTTTGGCTTATGAGTTTGGATTTTGTCACTGTAATAAACTGTATATTTTATTGTATTTATGCTAAATGAGGATCAAGTAAGAGAATTGTCATTAACTTTGAGATTATCAAAACTATTTGTGATCATTATTTTAGTGTCATTGAAATGTTTTATAAGCTCAATGTGAATTCATGTATTTTTTATTTTTTATTTTTTATCAAGAGTATGAATCCAATTGACTATGATTTGGACCCTAGGCAAATGGAGGTTAAGTATTGATACACTTTTGTTACTTTTTTTTGGTTTTGGTTTTGGTTTTGAGGTTTGGATTCTTTGTATTGAATTATCAAATTTGTTGAGATTTTGAAAAATAAATCCTATGAGTTTCCAAGGTCGAGGTGTGTATAAGTTAGTGTGGGAGTTGGAGTGATTTACCCCTAAACTTAGTCGAAAAAAGCCGTTTGGGGGTAAATATGCAATGCAGCTGCCAAACCACTCTATGGATGAACTAGGTAGCTTCTTCGTGACAAATAGGGCCTATGGGGACAAACGGGATGTAATTAGCACACGTAGTTTGGGAGTTGGAGTGATTTACCCCGTAAACTTAGTCGAAAAAGGTGGTTTGGGGGTGAAAAAGCAACGCAGCCCCCGAACCACTCTATGGATGTAACGGGTAGCTTCCTCGTGACAAATAGGACCTATGGGGATAGACGGGATGTAATTAGCACACGTAGTTTGGGCGTTGGAATGATTTACCCTTTAAATTTAGTCGAAAAAGGCGATTCGGGGGGGAAAAAATGGAACACCGCCCCCGAACCACTCTATGGATGTAACAGGTAGCTTTCTCATGACAAATAGGACTTGTGGGGATAGATAGGTTGTAATTAGCACACGTAGTTTGGGTGTTAGAGTGATTTACCTCGTAAACATAGTCGAAAAAGGTGGTTCGGGGGCGAAAATGCAACGCAGCCCCTGAACCACTCTATGGATGTAACTGGTAGCTTCCTCGTGACAAATAGGACTTGTGGGGATAGACGGGATGTAATTAGCACACGTAGTTTGGGAGTTGGAGTGATTTACACCGTAAACTTAGTCGAAAAAGGCTGTTCGGGGGGCAACACCTGAACCACTCTGTGGATGTAACAGGTTGCTTCCTCGCGAGAAATAGGACCTGTGGAGACAGACGGGATGTAATTAGCACACGTAGTTTGGTAGTTAGAATGATTTACCCCGTAAACTTAGTCGAAAAAGGCTGTTCGAGGGCAAAAATGCAACACAGCCCCCAAACCACTCTATAGATGTAACGGGTAGCTTCATCTTCATAAATAGGACCTGTGGGGATAGACGGGGTATAATTAGCACATATAGGATGGGAGTTGGAGTGAAAAACGCTGTAAACTTAGTCGGAAAAGGTTGTTCAGGGCTGAAAATGCAAAGCAGCCCTCGAAAATGCTGAACAACGAGAATGATCATATAGATGGGTCCATTTATAAGATTCTAGGTGGTTTGGAGTGACTAATCAATAGCCTAATTTATTGAATTGTCACAGCTTATATGCAATAGTCAAAACCATTTCAATGATCTCTCAGTATAGTGAAACATTTACCTAACAACATGATATTTCTACGAAATGTGACAACGAAACAGGGTTATAAAGAACCAAACTGGAGAGTAGGGCCAATTTAACCTTAATGTTGACCTTCAATCATCTTCTAGTTTGACAAATAAGCATTGCCAAGTTGGTTTATAAAGTAATTTTATGTCATTACTACTGTATATGTTGCACAACCTTACATTGATTGTCATTTTTTAAGGGCTAAATTTTGTCTCATTACTACTGAATATATTGCACAACCTTACATTAATTGTCATTTTTTAGGGGCCACATTTTTCCTCATTACTGTTGACCTTACATTGATTGTCATTTTTTAGGTGCCAATGGATTTTTACTCCTGTGCACTTTGCATTATTAGATGCCAATGGAATTTTTTGGCATGGAAATTATGTTCAAATGCTATATGGAACTAATGGGTGTAATTTTGTTTTGTAGATGGCTTTTGGCATAGACATGTGAATCTTCCATTTTTGTGTACGGAGGATAATTTACACTTTTGAGCAGTCCCGCTTTTTTGTCGTCCTCTGCTTTTTGTGTGGCATTTGGATGAATTGTACATATAACTTTTTCCATGTTACAGAATACTTTTGACATGGAACTTGTATTTGTTGTCGTGGTATATAGATTACCTTTTGTCGTGGTACAGATTACAATGGTAATTGGTACCATGCCAAATGGTCATTTTGCATAGTACTTGTGGGGATATATTTTTAAATACCAACACGTGGCAAGGTGATGCCAACGTGTCAGCCGAGGTGCTACGTGTCCAAGTCATGACGCCGAGGTGATCTCGGTTAAGCTGAGGTTATCTCCGAAGATATCGGAGTCTGAGATAAGTGGATAAGGGACAAGAGTTCTAGAATGGGAGAAGACTTCAGTTTGGGAAAGGATAAGGCTCTTAGGGAGTTTATCCCAATCTTATTGGGAGTCCAAGATTGATAGTAATCCTAAGTCCATTAGAGCTAGGCTCCTACTGGGACAAGGATTGAGTAAGCTATAAAAGAGAGGCACCCCCGCGGATCTAAAGTATGCTTTGGATATTCTGTCTAGTGAGTTTAGCACTATTGGTTATCTTTGAGAGATATTGAGTACTGACTTGATCGTCAGAGTGCCCCCAGGTGGACGAGCCACTACCGGAAACTCTTCTTTCTGTAGCAGGTCGTTCGGACTTAATCTATTTTGCCGGTGTTCTCCAGCTGAGTGCTTGATTGGCAATGTGGTCAGAAATTGACACACACAATTTGACACCGCCTGTGGGAAAGAAAGTAAAATAGATGGCCAGTAATGGACAGAAAGAAAAGATTGGAGACGACACTCCTGCTGGGAGTGGGAGACTGATTGACCTTGATATCACAGGAGACGAATGCAACGCAGAAACTCATGACTAGAATCATGGAGTGAAAGACGTCAGCCAGACTGGCGACGAACCAAAGAAACCAGATCAAAGTGGATACTACAACGAGGACGACCTCCAGGCTTGGAAAGATAGGTGCCTACGGAGGGACGAAGAGGTAAAAGAGATGGAAAACAAATTGGCAGACTTGCAGTCGATCGTCAATTTCATGATGCAAAATAACGTAATGCTGCCACCGTTTCCGTTACAGGACACGCCGGTTCCAGCGGCCAATGCCCAGAAGGAAGGGCAGAAAACAATCCCCGTAGCCCCTCAGCACAACGGGAGCGACAGATACTCTCACTGACCTTCTAGGAAAGTCAGACGAAGAGAGTCGAGAAGAGAAGAATCACAGAGGACGCATCGCACAAAGGAGGTAGACCCCAAAGGACATCGGCATGTTCAGGGGCAGGCACTGTGCTTCAACACAACTCATAGAGAAGGGTCGAAAAGAACTCACCACGAAGCTAAAAGTAGCGCACCAAAAAGACTAAAAGCAGGAGATAGCCGAGCTCCTGGGCGGACGAAGGAGGACTTCAGAGATTACCTCAAGAGGAAGCAACAGAATGCCGACATGCCGAGGCCGAGGTAACCTCCCCAGATAAGCCGAGGACACCATTCTCGGTGGAATTGGACAGGTTTGAGGCACCGAAGAGATCCAGTATGCCCAGGTTTCAAATATACGATGGTAAGTCAGACCCCAACTTCCACGCTGGACTATATTTGAACTCAATGGCATTGTATAGTGGGAACGAGCCGTTGCTCTGCAAAGTGTTCCCCTCATCCTTCATGGAGATTGCATCAGATTGGTTCCACAAACTACCAAGGGAAACGTGAAGACTTGGGAAGGACTAATCGAGATGTTTGTGGCCAGGTTCGTGACAAACAAGATGTAGCCATTAAGGGTGGACGCATTGATGGCTTTGAAGATCAGCAAGGATAAAGGCCTTAGGGTCTATGCAAAAAGATACTATGAGGTGTTCAATCGAATACCCGAATGTAATCAAGAGGTAGCAGTCGTATCCTTTTAGAACGGCCTAAAAGGCAACTGTCTACTACGAAAGTCTTTGGCAAAGACATTGCCAAAAAGTATGGAAGAGCTCATGGCGAGAATCGAGAAGTACGCCAGAGCCGAAGAAGACACGTCGGGAACTAGGGAGATAAAATAAGAGAAAGGAAACGGCTCGCCGAAGTGAGGCCGAGGTAACAATGGATC